TCGGGAGTGGTGCGAGGACGGGGTGCGAGTGGGAGCCGTTAGGCTGAGGTGTCGGGAGTGCGAGGGTGAGCCGTTAGCCTGAGGTGGGGGGTGCGAGGCTGAGGGAGCTGTTGGGCGCACCTGCGTGAGCGGTACCTCTCAGGGTCTCGGGGGTCCCGGGCGGTCTCCTGAGGTGCTGCCGGATGCAGGCCTGCCTCGGCGGCACTGGGGTGTCTCTCGGCCGGCGTGGGGCTGAGCAGCGCAAGCGGGGAGGGAAGAGTAAATGACTAATCAGTTATTTGCAGTAGAGATGACAACCAGTTGTTGCATCCTGCGGTGACATTAAGAGGAAACGTTAGAAAAAGCTCCTGGGCCACACAGAGGCGAGCTTGTCTGGGTGTAGCCTACTGCGCTTAAGGGGAGGAAGAGGTGTAGAGAACTTGCCTAGTCTCTAGCAGTCACTCTCTGAGAAAGTAACTTTTCTTTCCTTTTTGGATGTAGAAGGGCCAGGCATTACAGGTCTCCATGCATTCCTACTAATCAGAGTGTGGAACTGGTATCTCTGCAGTGTAACTTCCCTCTCATCCTAGAGGCTTGCCAAGGTTTAAATGGTTTTCTGTGGAGAGGAAGACGACCTCGGCGTTTGGCTTTAGCTGCCAAATCAAAGCTGTGCCAGGGGGACTTGGATAGCCTGGGATTAATAGGGCTAATTACATAGAGACAGAGGATAGAAAGCACTTTGCCGGTTTTAGGTTTGAAACTTCAGCAAGAGAGAGGAAGACATAGTTGATAGCAGTGATCTGATATACTGTCAGTATCTCCTAAGGAAGAGAAACTTAGTTGCCTCTTGCATGAGTTGTGCTGGTGACCTGAACTCAGGTGAACTGTGAGTAATTCAGTTTCAGAACTGGATGGGCAGTAAGCTTATGCTTCAGCAAAAATAGTATTTCAGTGATACTTGCTCACCTTCGTTTGTTTTTTTACAGTAGTTTGATCTTTATCAGGTTGCCTCCTTTTCTAATGTGACATGCTTAGAATATGGAGTAAAAAACTTTTTCATTGCAATTGCCAAATCTAGTGTGTTAAAGATCACTCATGCATGTGTGTTTGTGTGTGTATTGCTATCTGTCTGCAACTGAACTGGTTTGCTGGTGAAAGTATGACCCTTGCCATGTATCTTCACATTAGATGTGACCAAGTCTTGAGGTAGTTGCCAGTACCAGTTATGCTTTACTGTAAGTTTGACTCTTCAGCTCGGGGGCATGAGTGCTGAATATCTGCGGGGTATACACTGATTGTATGCTTTTCTTCCAGCAGCCTAAGCAGTAGAAATAGAATATTTGAGACGAATGAAAGGGTGCGTATGCCATGTACTGAAACACTTGTCTTCTGTAGATTAGAGCTATATTCTACTGTTACATAGTCATAATGAAAATATTAGTGTAAATGACAAGGTTGTTTGGATTTGTTTCCCAACAACTAAGTGTGCAGGTGGTCTGTTGTATTTACTTTGTGAAAGTGAAAGCTTAAGTGTTGGAAAGCTCCATGGTAATTACAAAAATGTCTAACCTAGTAGTTGTGCAAGCCACTTGGATGACTCAAGATGGCTCAGTTATGTAGTTCTACTTATTTTGTGTGGAATATATTGTAAAGCAGAAGAGAAATAGTTTGATTTAGTCAAACTGTCAATACATTAAAATGCCAGCTTTCTTATTAAAGATATTTTAGGCTTTATGAAGTTGCTATGAAAATGTGATATTCATTCTGTGCATGTGTGTGGTTTTTTTTTTTAAAAGGGGTGGGTGGATATATCCAAGTGTGGAAAAACTGCCTGCTTTCCCCATTGATCCTGAGTCATTTGTACATTGCTTGCTTGCTCTCAGCTATTTCCTGATATTTGTTGCCTCACCAAACCCAGTCATGTCCTACTGTGTTTTTTCTCCTTTAAAACTTTGGGAGTTCTATTTGTGCAATCTTTTGAGGGGAAAGCAGGAAGGGAAAGCATTGGTATCTTGAAGGTTAAAGGGAAAGAAGGCCTGACAGACCCTTTCTCATCTGTCCAACTTATTGCTGTTGTTAGCAACAATGCATCTAAAAGAAAATGTTGTTCTTGCTATTTGTTGGGAAAAACTGAGGCTGTTTGTCACAGCAGAGTTTTGGGTGATTGGTGTGCAGCCTCTCTTTCAGTGACAGCTTTCAACTGCTGCAGTCTCCTAGGTGGGAGGGGAGGTGCCACAGAAAAATCTGCAGAATTAGGCAGAAAAACAGGTCACTTTCAGAAATTTATCAGATCTTGTGTCAATTTCTTCTGGGTGACAAACTATATTAGTCTGCTGCTTAGTGTTGTCACTTTTGAATGAGTGTTGCCACTAATAAAAAGTACTTATTTAAGTACTTTCTGATTCCTATCTGTTTTGGTATTGTATTTCTTGTGTTATCAGTAATACTTTCCTAATGTTCTGGTATGGGAAAATATCTTGTTTTTTAACTTTGTATTACTGAGAAATTAACTTTGAAGTGCAAGTGAGTTAAATTAGGCAGCAGTAATAGTCACTTCTGTTCTAGATCTTTACTCTTCAAGCACATGGCATATTTATCCTACAGAAGGTTTAGAGTGAGGTCTGCTTTGTTCCTTGATGGTCCTCCCCTTTACTTGTGTTCTGGGAAAGTGGGGGAAGGGTAAGTTCTAATCATACCACAAAGAGCAGCAGCCGTGTATATAGAGTGTCTCTGATTGCCTCAGAATGCTTTACATATAAAAATGGAAGCTGAAGCTTATAAACAATAATGACTCTATTGGGGATTAGGCAAACAGCTATAGGTTTGCATGATCACACAGCAAACCTTCTGTAAGGTGCTACCTTCTGTTCTGTCAAGTGCTTCAACATCCAGCAAAGTCCTAGGGAAGAGAGGTGAACAAAATGAGCTATTGGCATGTTACAGTCAAACCTCAGTTTAGCACCGAAGTCAACTCAGTCTTTTGTGATTGGTTATTATCTTTTACCCTTCTACTAAATAGCTGCCTTACCATGAATATTGGTGAAAGCTTAATGTCTCTTCAGTGTAGAAAGAGGTGGTGTACACGTGTGTCTTAGAAAAGAGCAATTAAGTTGTGTGATGTCTTGGGCTTCTCTGCATTAAAAAAATGACCATTTTGAGAATTTTATTATACACAGAAAATATTTTCAGCATCTCTTTGGTAGAGATCAGTGTTGCTTAATAGCTTTGTTCAGTGGGATCTACAT